GGGCGTTCACTTGGTGGCCGCTACCTCTGTTTGCCAAGACCACCCTCCTCTTCTGGAACACGGACCGGATTTGGTGGGCGGCACGCTTCTGCTGGATTCGGCTTCGTACACACCCGGGTCCTGTTGCATGGAGGGCCTACAGCCACTTCTCAACTGCCACGAGTGGCGTTGCTGAACTCTGGATCCCCCGCGTCCTTCGTGTCTGACTCTGTCGTTACCGCTATGATTGATGCAGGAGCTTTGACTTCGGGGAGTGTCCGTGTTTCGCCCTCTCGTCGTTGGGGTGGGTTTGGTGATGGACCCGCCCTCGTGACCACCAAATTGGTTCGGTTACAAGTCAACTTCCTTCACGGGGATCGTGCTACGGCTTCTCTGGCGGTTTGGGCCTGCGTTGTTCCAGATGCCGCCATGGGGCACGCCGTACTCCTGGGTCGGGATAGCTGGATGCGGTTCAACTCTCGCACCTTCACCACCCTCCCTCGCCCTGGACCGGATGGCCGTGTTATGGGCGAACTCACTCTCTCTCCGCGTTTTACAGCTGGCGCCTGCGTCTACGCAACACACGACGACGCCCCTGCGTCCTCTTTTCACCTCAAATATGAAGGGACTTCGGGAATTTCCTTGGGGCCGGAGCCTGCACTTGTTGAGGTTAACCTCGTCCGCTCTTCTGGCCTGCCGGCGTTGATTGGCGAGTACCTCGTATCGTTTCGACCGGAGGTAGGAACGCTTTCGTCCCCCGATGCTTTCGTTTCCCATGGACTCCCAAAAATTCCCCTTGCAGGTTGTGCTGAATTGGAGCCGGGAGAAGTTATTGGAGTGTCTGCAGCGCCGCTGTTGCGCGTCCCGGTGGAAACTCTAAAGGCGGCATCATCGCCTTCGCCTGCACCCGATTCTCCGGCCCCCACATCACCACCTAGGGTCAACATCGTTGATCCTGCGTCCGAGGCCCAAAGCCCTCCGGATCCAGCCTCTGCCCCGCCTCCTCCGAAGCCGCCTCCCCAAGAACTGATGGACCGCTTCTCCGAGGCTCAGCGCTCCAGCTTCTCGCGTTTGTGGGCTAGGCTGCCGGCACACATGCACGACATCGCCTTCGATTTGCACAATCCGGGATGGACACCGGAAGCTATAGATCGCTTGGCGGATGCTCTGTTCGAGTATTCTGACGTGTTCTCAACATCAAAAACCGATTTTGGTTCTTGCAACATCATGCCGTTCACCCTTTCTGTCCCTGCTGGGACAAAGCCAGTTGCGTCTCGCCCATATCGCATCAATCCCCTCATGCAGAAGAAAGTGGACGCAGTTTTGGACCAATACTTGGCGGCAGGGCTAATTCAGCATTCTACCTCTCCATGGGCCTCTCCTTTGGTCGTCATCCCCGAAAATGACGGATCGGTCCGTATTACCGTCAACTACAAGCGTCTTAATGCTCTGGT